AGTAGTATAGTAGTAGTAGTATAGTAGTAGTAGTAGTAGTAGTAGTAGTAGTAGTACTAGTAGTAGTAGTAGTAGTAGTAGTAGTAGAACTAGCAGTAGTAGTAGTAGTAGTAGTAGTAGTAGTAGTAGTAGTGGCAGCAGTGGCAGCAGCAACAACACAGCAGCGGCGACACTGGTAGCAGAAGCAGTACCACTAGCCAGAGTAGTTTTGAACCCTGCCAAATCCTGCATCAGCAGCAGCAGCAGTAGAAGTAGGAGGAGGGAGTAGGAGTAGTAGCAGTAGTAGGAGTACATGTAAGAGTAAGGGCAGGAGCATGCAGGAGCAGCCGTCGTCGCAGCAGCAGATGCAGCGCTGTTGATTGTCCTGTTGTCTGCGTGCGCGCCGCTGTCGCGGCTGCTGCTGCTGCTGCTCCTTGTTGTGGGGGTCTGTCAGTCGGTCAGATGTATCGTTGCTGTCGTCGTTGAACATTTGGTCGTTGTTGCTGTCGATGTTCCATGACAACTATCAGTACCGACTGAGTGGGGTGTGCCCGGCCAACATCTCCGTCTTCACTTTCCTTCACCCTAGTTTCAAGTGGTATCGTCCTCGCATGACCTCCGTGCACTCAAGGCTGGCCTGGGCATGCCGAGGTCGCTGCAGGCAAGATGCCATGGGCACAAGGCATTGCCAGCGTGTGCACGACGATCAGAGCAAACTAGATTTGCAGGCTTCAGTCTGAGGCAGAAGCATGTAAGACTTTTCGCACAGTAGCATAGCCATTGCTGGTACTGGAGCTAGTCGCGTGAACGAAGCTCTGTTGGAAACTCAGACCTGAAGATCTACTTGGTCCGATGCATGCACACTGTGCTTTGCTGCACATTTAACCTACCTTGAGGCTGTCACTATCGCTTGTTCATTGTAGATCTGGTAAAGCCATTGGCTGCACGGCACCCAATCGACCGCACGAACAGCTGCCACAAATGGACTCCGCAATGAAAAGGCTGAGTGCACGGCAAGCCACTCCTCCTCTCGCTGCATTTGCGCACTCTCCCGGCCTCGTCTGCTCAAGCTTCCACGCAAACTTCGCTAACCAGCAAGAAGCTGTTCATTTTTCGTGGGGAATACATGTTGAGGTCTGGAAGTAAGCAAGAGGCGCTTGCAGCTCACCGAATTCCTGTCGTTCAGCCGGGAAGGAAGAAGGAAGGGGACGTCGGAAAATCATGATCCCGATGCCGTTAAGAAGACGAAGTATAGCGAATCCCAACACACCGTAACCTTAATCTGTATACCAACTTTCTGGGGTTCACTGTTGTTTCAGCCGAATTCTGAACCACAGGGCTCGGTTTCTTCAGAGGCAAGCAGTTCATCCTTTCACAGGACTGAGCAGATACTTACCACACGTGGGTGGGGCTTGTGTTTAAAGAAGACACAAGATGAGCAGAAACCAAGAAAGGGTGCCAGATTCTCATGGGTCATTTGTCATGTCATATCTCGGCCACACCTCCAACCGCTTTTCCTGCTCAGATGCCGGTGATGCCCATGTTGTCAAGTTGCTGCCGATGGACTGAAGACCTATATGGGGGTTTCCGAAAATAGGGGACCCTAATATAGTACCCTAAAGAATGGGATCCTTAATATAAGGACCCCAAAATAAGGTACCCCCCATATACCTGGTGCGCTCGGCACCAGCGCCTTTACAACTGGGATTGCGCGCAGCAGCCAGCCGAAGGGCAGGGCCAGAGAGGTGGATCGACTCCATAAGCTGAGACAGGGTTTAGGGTTTAGGGCCGTTTAGGGTTTAGGGCCGTTTAGGGTTTAGTTTTAGGGATTAGGGTTTAGGGTTTGGGGGACAGGATGTACGAGCCACGAGTCTTCGCATTCGCTCTGCGGTCCTCATGGCCTCCCCACTTAGTCTTGACATGAGGGTGGGCAGGTCACCTCTGGCAAAAACATCTTAAACGATGAGGCGGCATCTTCTGCCCCCGAAATTGCAACGGGCTGCAGGAAGTTGACTACGAGATCACTTTGGCAAATTGGGGTCCAAGCAGCCCAAATTGCAAACCGATTGAAAGCCAGGGCATGAAAAAGCTTCGGTAGGAACATCGAGGATTAGGTGCCCCATCTGCACAGATCCAAGATCCCTTCGGCTCTTGTGGGGTTGCGGACCGAGTTTCCTGAAGGACCTTTTGGATGGGGATTCTCGGCAGGTCACCACACAACGGCCCGTGATGTGCCAAATGGCCTGCTCCCGTCACGCCCACTTGATACCTCCTCTTTCCTCTGTGAAGACCTAACCGGCTTCAAGCTCTAAACCCATAAGCCATACACCGACCGCAAAAACAACCGGCACGACACCCTCACATAAGCACTACCACCACAACAGCAAATACTGTTACCTACCACAACCACACACGAGTACTGGAATTACCTACTACATTCACTACTCCAGTAACAAACAAACACTTTTTCTGCTACTTCTACTTCTGCTGGTGCTGTTGCTGCTCCTACTACTCCTGCGACGGCTAGTGCTACTATTACTACTACTACTACTACTACTACTACTACTATTACTACTACTACTACTACTACTACTACTACTACTGCTGCTACTGCTACTGCCACTGCTACTACGACTAGGACTACGACTACGACTAAGGCTGAGGTTAAGGCTGAGGTTAAGGCGACGGCCGAGGCTAAGGCAAAGGCGGGCGGCTACTGCTACTGCCACTGCCACTTCACTACTGCCAACACTGCTATCACAACTGTACTCAGGCTACTGTACCCAGTAACGCAACGACGGCTATAAATGCCACTGCTATTGCTATATCGGGTCTTCTCTCCCGTCGCTACTGTGGATACTGAAGCTACTTATCATGAACGAGTTTAACTAATCGATGCTTTGTAGGCAAGCAGGCTGCATCCAGTACGTTACAGGCGCACATGCTCCGTCAGCATGGTAAACCCATGAACATTCAAAAAGCTGTGGCGCGCAATTCGTTCAAGACAAGGAAGCGAGGTGCGCGAGCTTGCAGTTTTTCCCTGAGCGCAGGCACCCAAGTGCGAGTGAAAACGCTTAACAGCATGGCTCAACAAGTCGGACTCTGCTACGACTTTGTATTCGGAGCACTGTCTTCCTGACCTACGAAAGGAGGGGCTCTAGTCGGCTTTTTGTGGGTTGGGCCTGCTTTTTCTAAGCTCCTAGCAACATGGTCTCAAGCTGAAAGGTACGGCAGTTACCCGGCCTGTTGTGAACTCGCCTGGGTGATGCAGCTCCCAGTTAGCCAGGTAGATTGCCTCAACGATGCGGCCTTGCACTTTCGGCGACGCAAGACTCGCACTGATTGTTTATCAGCAGAGTCCCGCGAAACTTGATACTATACCGAGGGTCCCTCCATCGTGCTCCTGAAGCGCACTTGTTGCACATGACACTGCTGCAGTTGTGCTTAACTCAGACAAGGCACAGGCAGAGTTGATGACCTAGATCGGCAGATTGTCCGCAAACGACGGAAACATGTCGGATTCCAGTGCAACCAGTAGGAAGACAGCCCCAACCGGGACTTGCAACAGACCTGCAGGCCTCAAACTTGCATCGCTAACACTCTCAACACTGCCACTATACCTCCCTCTGCGTGGTCACATGACTCGGCCATGTTACCTTAGCTCTGGACTTGCTCCTACGTCGCAGACAAATAGCCCATGGCCATGCTAACTTGTGCAAATAGCAAGCAGAGATGAACGAGTTGCTTCTGCAAAGAACCGGCACAGTTAGCTGCCCCGGAACTTCGCTTTACTATTGATGAACCTTCACAGCATGCAGTCGCACACAAGCAGTACAATGGCCCTTGCCCTTTCATGGCCCAAGCTCGCCCCCCTGAGCCAGCGGCCATGATAATCGCGACAAAGCGCGCCGCGAAGTACAGCTGACGGAAGGGAGACATCTTGGGCCTAGGCTCAGGGCTTCAGCGAACCAGACTCAGGAATGCAAGTGGGAGCCGCAGCACTGCATGGACGTAGGGCATAAAATGCTCGAGATGCGATCCCGAATCCTACAAAATCATGCCCGAGGTGCGATTTGATGACGGCGGAGTTCCTTGGAACGGCCCTAAACCCTAAACCGTGGCAGCTTCAGTGGGTTTCCCTGGTGTTGACAGCTTCAGAAGGTTTTTCGAGGCTGGCGCTGCATGACCAGGGCCCCCAAACGCTTTGGCAAGGACAAGGCTTCCAGACAGGTCCGTCGGTATGATAAGATATTCAATCGTCCTTAAGCTCGAACTGGCATACTTCTGCCATACTCTATGATACTATTGTACTACTATTATACTGCACTATTGTAATACTCTTATCATACTGTTTCATGGAAAGGGCTGCCACATCCCGCTTCGGCTGGGGCTCCAACCTACACATTCTGCCGTTCAAAATACCAAAAATGCCTCAAGCCCGGGTTTAGGGTTTGGGGTTCTAGGGCCCGAGAACCCCATTTACACAGGCTTGATTGGAGCTCGCCCGGCCAGAAGAACCCTAATGCTTGAACTTCAGCGGTCGCAATCACATGTTCGTCTACAAGCATGTAGGCGCAAGTTTATCTAGCTGTTTGCTCATATTTACTTATATTTACAAGGGGCAGTTACACATGAATCTGTACATTTTTCGGTTGAAGCGCACCGAATCCTAAAACGCCAGACGAACCGTTTAAACTCCAAGCACGTACAAAAAGTGCGGCTTCTCTTCTATCTCTTCTCGAACAAACCGCGGAACCCTTCACCACTTGCTGTTTGTTTGGGGCGCGGGGTCGGGCACCCAGTCTAACAAGACAAGCCGCCACGGAACTGCAACAAAATGGTAAATAGTGGTAAATAGTATTTTCGACATCCTGATCCCGAGGCGTTCTGAAAAAGGGTACCCATGTGAAGACAGCGGCTTCAAAAGAAACACCGGCCCTAAAGCGCACCAAAGCTTTCAGCTACAGCCAGGCATCAATGCCAGCATGATGTGGGCAAATAAGCACCTTGGTCGGCCCAGATGCTTCCAGGCTACCGGCATATTACTGCCTACATGGTACAACGGTCGGAGATGAAACATGCTTCCGTTTCTAGTTCCCAGAAGCGGTGCCTTTGAACGCTAATATGGGGGTTTCCCAACATAGGGGACCCTAATATAGTACCCCAAATAGTAGGATCCTTATTAAACGACCCCAAAATAAGGTACCCCTACTTTTCGGAAACTCCCATATCTGAACAGCCTGAAGACCAAACTCGAAGGCGCCATCCTTGGATCGGATGCAGGCCGAGAACCAACCTGTGCCTGACCCTCACAGCGAAACCGCTCCTTCCAGTTTTGATGTGCGAGACTCTGTCGCAAAAAAGGCCAAGATGCATCATGCACTTTACAGGCTCAAAGCCCCATTGACTCTATTATATACTGACACTCTAAATCTATGGTTAGCTGAAGGCACGGTAGGAAGTCATTGATGGCATTGGAAATGACCTCAGCACACGCAGCAGCCAGGACAAGCCGAATCTTACGAATGCATAGTATGTTATTCAATATATGGTACCGTATTAGCCATGATATTCGCGTATATTCTAGTATATCGCTATGTACTAGTTTGTGGTATACTAGTATTATACTTTATACTCTTGGGGTCTTGAGCCCAAAGCCTGAAGTCCTGAATC